TTCCAATCAAAACGCTTGTATTTACCTCACTTTCTCGTTAACCAATCAAAGACCTTTGTTTCTCACGTGTTTAGTAATMATGTSATATGTTTTTATTCCCAGGGTCATCTTGAGTGCGATCCAAAAYTTCTCAGGTGCACTTTGTAGCATGTTCTTGCGTGGTGATAATTTTGATTTTCAGGTAAGCCTAACCCTCCAATAGTTTAATGTTGTTTGATCATCTAWTCTTTCGCTTGAAARTACTTTTTCATGTTCCTCTTTTAGCTTTGGAATAATTTCTTCCACTTGGCTATTGCCTTCATCACACAAGAGTCCTTGCAACTGGAAAATTTCAGAATTGCAAAACAAGAGCGAATCCGCGAGAAGTAAGAACGTTTGGCATTTCATAGAGCGGATTTCGTATGARTGGGAAACGGACGGTACTGTACTGTGACCGTAATCGTACTGTAACCAAATTCTAGTGCCCCATTGTTTCACCAAAATTCTGCAGGCCAGGTGCGGTAACTGTGCGGTAACCGTGCGGTAACGGTGTCCCACTCATGCGAAATCCGCTCTATATTCAATATCTCGACTTTCACACTTAGAGGTCTGGGAACAACCCTCGTGGAATTGGTAGTCTCTTCCACAGTCTCCAGACCTTTCGACCAAGAAAAGCAAGAGACTGTGGAGGAGTCTAGCTGTACGGTGATTCGAAAGTTACCTGAAAGAAAGAACGCATTTTAATTAGAAGGATTTAAAAGTTTTCTGTGGATTGCAAATGATGAAGTATTTGGTATATGCCACAATTTTAATATCCTTGAATGTATAAAGAAATCTATCGCTACACTGAGGGACAAATTCCTCGACGTTCTTTCTTTTTGTTTGAGCTTTATTTTCACTTTGCTGCGCCTAACCAAAAGAAAACTTTAAAACTTTTATTTTTTTGGTTTTGATTTGCATATTTAGATATGGTGACATGAGGACCTTCATTGGATTCAAGATCAATGAAATGTGGGATTTCCTAGGTAAAAGACATTGTATGTAATGTTAAGGCGAGAGATTGTAAAGCCCATACAACACGGACGCGAATGTTGTAAATTACTTTGGAAACGTTTAGGTGTATACATTCATAATCTACTAAAAACTTGAAGATAAAATTGAATTTGGCTGAGAAAATTAGATTTGAAGTTTATGCAAATCAAGACAGTTTTGTATCAAATATTACAACACTCTTCACGGTTGTGATTTGTATTGTGTTTTACTCATTGATTATTCATGAGTTTTACAGAACTATTTCACTTTCTAGGAAACTCAGGGCATTTAATATAATTGCTAAAGAAGTTAACGCAAGCAGAAAATTTCCCAAAGGTTCAACTCAAAAGCCTTATTTTTCCAAGGGCCGATATTCAGTGTTGCCTTATAGGATTTTGACTTTCAAATATCTGTTGGTATTTTAGGAGCCCACAAGACTAAGTTCATTCCAGATCTTGTCGGACCTTTCTTGGAAATGACATTGATTCCCCAGGAAGAACTCAGAAAGGCGACCATTCCGATCTTTTTTGACATGATTGAGGTGGAGTACTGGAATACTGGGGGCTTCGTGAAGGTAAGTGGTCACTTTAATTATACATTTTTGTTGATAATATATAGTTCACGCGTAGAGCGCAAACACTAAAACCGTGAAAAAGTATTAACAATATAGTGCTAAACTCCGAAATAGAGTCATTTTCATCCGTCTGTAAATAGGAATTGTACTATTACATACTAGATATTAGATAATATTAGCTCCCAATAGTTTAACTTGTGACATGCGACAAACTAATTGGGCCAACACGGTTTTGATTTTGCCTTTTGATAGCCTACTAAACCCTAATAGTTACTATTAAACACTGACTAATAGTAATTATTTCACAGACGGATGAAAATGACTCTATAGTACAGATTAGGCAATAGAAAACAAAGGAATTCACATAATTCAGTACAATTTAGCACTACTTGAATACTAAAGTTTTTCACGGTTTTACTGTTCTTACTCTATGACGTTCATCGAAGAATGATTTAGTTTTTTTGTGTAGTTTTACCCACGAGTTTAAATGCATGCGATTTTTCGTCTGCAGGTTGAAACTGAACTTTTTCGTAAACTTGATGTGCTTGTCGAAGGTGGAAAAGGAGACGAAGARTACAAAGAACTATTCCAGAAAACGTGAGAAGATTAATAGAATCATTGTTAACTTTATACCAGAAATTATTACTCAAAAATAGTCTTCTTYGCATGCTTCGCGTGCGAAAAAATTGCACCAATTATCACACTTGTATTGAATCGGTTGAAAGAAAAGAGCGATTTTCGCTAATTTTTAAACCTAAAATCTTAATTTTTTTAGACTTAAAAATTCCTTCACTCGTGGTTCCACTTAGTTTTTGAACATTTTATGACGTGAAAAGTGTGTAAATAAGAGGACATACAACTCATATCCTGCACGACAAAGTTGGAAGTGTGAATGGATCATTCGACATACATTAAGACGCGTTTTAATCGGCGATTTTTGCTGAGATTTTTCGAGCGATGTACAAAAATATAATTGATTTTGTCTWATCCTTCTGAGGAGACGTTTAGTTAGTGCACTTCCCATTTGTCAGAACTGGCTGGCTAGACCCAGAGAAAATGTCATTATATATCATTCCCATTTAGTTAGGAAATTCAAATTTTCAAATTCTATCCATTATTGTACAGAAAACCTCGAAATGACTGAAAAATGTTGACAAAAAGCATTATATASCTCTAAATAGAGTGGACTGGCCGGCCAGTTCTGCCTAAATGGAAAGCACGCTTAGTTCATCTCAATGTATTTAGCATTATTCTCTAGGAACAAAATGAACACAAAAATCGTCTCAAAAATCGCCAGTGTAAACGGACCTTTAATAAGAAACGATATGCAGTGACGATATTTTGTGTAACAAACTATTGTGATGTTTACTCTACAATGGTCATTCAACAGGCTGACAGAAAGATTCATCAGCCATCCCCAGCTTAGCAAACAAGGCATCGAGTTTGTACAGATGGTTACCAAGCTGCTAGAGAGACTGCTGGACTACCGTACCGTCGTCCAGGGTGACGATAACATCGATAATCGCATGAGCTGTACTGTCAACGTACTGGTAAGTAGGAGTTTTAAGTGAAGGAAGCAAAACACACTTGGCTGGTAGCGATTGATTGTTGTAGTCGCTATATCTATGAGTCAAAATTGCAGTAAAAGTTCTCAAACTACTATTTACTCGCGCTAAAGCGGCGAGTGATAAATTCAGCATCGTTAGTGTTATTTTTTTTATTATTATTTTCCTCGTTCAGAAACAAAATGACAAAAATCAGCGCATGCGTACGCAGCTATGATAGTAGTAGGCATGCGCACAATGAATTGTTGAACCGCATGGTCTACTACAATAATGGCTGACAAGCGTTTAGAAAGTGTGTGTTTATTTTGGGACGATACTTTACCCAAACTTGGAGAGAGATAGTACGAGAGAACCCTTAAGAATGAAAATTCTATCGTGCATGATTCTTCTACTGCTTCAAACTCGATATCAAAAGCGCGAGTTCTCGCACTTATGCGTCTAGTTTAACATAATGTCGTCGTGTTTGCTTTAGAACTTTTACAAAGACATCAGACGAGAGGAAATGTTCATTCGATACGTATACAAATTGTGTGATCTGCACATCAAGATTGGTAATTTTACCGAAGCGGCTTACACTCTTCGTATGCACGCTGACCTGTTACAGGTGAGTTAGGACTTGGAACTAGGACCCAGTCCACGCCTAAACGCTGTGTGAATAATCGGGGCCCGGTTGAATGGCGGGTGAATAGCACTGTTCATCCGGTAAATCTTTACACAGCGGGTAAAATCTAGCCTCCTCCGCAGGCATCACAAAGAATCAGGGCTTCCTGTCTTTTTTGGAAGTCAAAAGGGGGAGAATGGGTGCGAGAAAGGGGAGGCGTGTGATTTTTCCTTTCTCGTCTCTAGTCCCTAGCGGTCAAGATGACCGTTACAAAGGAAGCCCAACGGAGGAAAAAAGAGTTGCCTGGGGAGGAGGCTAGGTAAAATCCATACAAAATATGGAGTTGATGACTTAATTTATCCAAACTCCATATAAAACTGACGCCAGGACTATACCCAAGAACCTTTGCGCGATTTTCTCAGATACGAAAAATCACCATCTTTGACTATTAAAGAAATCAGAGAGAAACTTTCAACAAGAGATATTTGCAAAACAAAGCCAACGACCGCAAAGGTTGTCGGATGTACGTGGTCCTTTAAGTGGTTCAATTGAAAGCTGTCTTTTAAGTTAAAAGTTACAAAGAAATATTTGTACAATTTTACAAGTACCTGTTTACTAAGCGTCTGTCTCACTCCATTTCGCATTTTTTTTTGTCTGATGTACAGTGGTCAGACGAGGAGATCTACTCAAGTAGAGAGAAATACAGGAAAGCAAACACCAAACGTCAACTCAAGGAGATGCTTTACGAAGACATTATTGAATACTTTGATAGGGGCAAGGTAGGTGACCATTTGACTGCAATACTAGGTGCCTCCCAATAATTTTTGGATGATCTGGGTATGCTAGATTGCCTGATATTGCGCGGGAGATATTTGGTGGTTTAACATTTCCCGTTTCTACGCTTTAATGTTTCATCGCAAGAGTAATCTCGTATTTACCTATTTCAAAAAAGGTCAGATAAAAGGGAGAAGTGAAAGTATAGGCGAGCGGAGATTGCACAAGCGAAAGGAGTCATTTAAAGGGCTACTTGGACGAAAATTGCGAAACCTTAGAAAAGACTTGGAAATCAAGTAGACCTATCCATATGGGTCTAATAATCATGAATCAACAGATTTCAAGAAGATATTGATACAAATCCTTAATAATTTGAGCAAAAAATGTTGGAGTAAATTACGTTATTTACTCAATCCTTTTGTTCTTCCATCTTTTGAATCAAAATTTCTCTGATGTGGGATGATTCCAAAACAAATATTTTCCCAAAATTGTTTTTAATACATATAAATGAGTCATATATTTGTATTTTTTGAAATTTTGAAATAAGGGCATTTTCATGCAAGTACCACTTTAATTAGGAAATAACAACTGATAGTCTTGGGTAACAATAACTCAGTTTCTTTTTCTCCTTTTTTTTTTTTCCTTTCGTATGTTTCTTTTCGATGTTTGAACCCGAAAAACTCTTTTTTTTTAATTAAGAGCATTCCGTGCTTCACTGCGGGCTTGTTCTTTTGAGTCTTTTGAACGGAGCAACGTGTATTACATTCGATGTAAACAAATTATCTTATAAATTTGTTCTAACGATTAAAATCGTATGCAGTGTTGGGAGGAAGCTATCGTCATGTGCAAAGAGTTGGCAAAGCAGTACGAGGAACAAACCTTCGAGTACATCAAACTAAGYGAGATATTGGTAAGAATAGACTTTTATTATTGCTATTAAGAATTCCTATTTTCATGATTTTCTTATCCATTTATCTCATTTCCAGAAAAAACAAGCGAAATTCTACGATAATATAATTACTCAAGTGAGAGGCGAACCCGAGTACTTCAGAGTGGCGTTTTACGGCAAAGGATTCCCAACTTTTCTCAGGGTGAATATGATAAAAACGTTATATTTACCTACTTCAGTCACGTCACACAATATTAGATATCAGAAATGTCACATAATACCCCCATGACGTCACACATCTCACAGTCACGTCACAGAACACTAGCCATGCCATACTTGGATGCAGTAACATAGCCAAAGCACAGTTAGAGAAATACACAGTGTTTCGTCAACCAACATGGCTTCCGTTTGTGCTTTGGCCAATCCCATGATGCAACTTACCGAACATCGAATGACGTCATAAGTGACGTCATAAGGACTAGAAACATTCAGCACAACACTGTTGTATCACTTTCCTTCCTGACAAGTCTTTTTCTATTGGTTTTATCTTCAGGACAAGGTGTTTGTTTATCGAGGGAAGGAGTACGAGAGACTGGGTGATTTTTCTATCAAGTTGCAGAGCCAGTATCCTAGTGCCGARGTATGTAGGCTGTCTATGATTATGGCGCGTTATGTTATTTAGGGATTGATTATGGAGCGTTCTTTCCCTCACGTGGTTGGTGGGGATGAGTGTGTGGTGAAAAGCACATGTAAACAATCTAGTCTAAAATGGGTGTAAAAAAAATTGCACACGACGAGTTAAGTTATSCTTTAGCAGCATGATTGCGATGAAGAAAATTGCGCACGGTTTTTCGTTTTAGGCCCTCTTATTGACACACTCTTGGCATCATAAAATGCTCAAAACTTTTTACTAATACGAACGCCGTCGAAGCTTAATTTTTGTTTTGACAGGAATTTATCTTTACTTCAGCCCCGCCTTGTCGTTCCTGTAGCCTTTGTGGCACCTAAACGCCCCTTATATCTATAACAGGGAGCCGGCTTTGATATCTAAGTCTATTCTATGAAAATATTTTGTATCTTGTAGAATTTAAAGTATTTGACAGCACCTGCAGATGATATTAAGAACTCCAATGGACAATGTATCTTTTTGATCAAATGCCATTTTATATTGCTATTGTGTTTTTTGAGTTGGTGTTTGAATGATGTTGAAAYCCCTTAACATARCAAAGTCTTACAAATCAACAAAGTTGATCCAGTTTCTGTCGAGYTGCGAAAGTTYCGYGGGAAAAACGTCATGGAACAAATCATCAAGTAAGGATTGCGTTACGTGCCACTTAACAGTTTCTMTTTGCGTGATGCGTTACTCAACTAACGCAACGCTCTTCCTAGGTTTTATGATGTCAATCATGTGAACACTTTTCAATATTCACGGAAATTTCACATTGGACAAAAAGAGAAGGACAAYGAATTCAAGGTAATTGCGATACATTAWTCTTTCCCACCCCCTGTAAGTTCCTTTTTTCTCTTACCCCCCCCCCCCCGCCCCACTGTAAGCTTTTGTCTAGACTTATTTTTCATACTGTCCAACTTCATCATCGTACGAGCTATAGTTACCATACTTATCTTTACTGTCCTAACCTCCCAAGGATTGTTTTTKCTTTCAGCTCACGTTTATTCACCTCCTGTCAGTACGATTTTTAGCATACTCTCTTACCCCCTTCTTCCTACAACAATATTACTTTCTCTCCCCCAGTCATTTTTATTTTTGTCATTATTCTTTTTATGTTGCTTTGTGATACATAAAATTCTTTGTTATTTAATAGACGATGTGGTTGGAAAGGACGGTATTGTACACGAGATACAGGTTTCCTGGAATTTTGTGCTGGTTTGAAGTCACGCACACTGACGTGGTAAGTCTGTCTCTTTGTCTACCTTTACGTGATCCGGGTAGGGGGGAAGGGGGCGCTAGCTGATTGAATATTAAGAAATCTCAACACGCAACAGTAAGTTCGCGAACCGCAATGACAGACAGACAATAGAAAGAGTGATCTTAGGGTAATAAGAATTACTGCAATGGCACATTTCTTTGTAGAGTGTTCTGTTACATAGATTGTCGTGATTGGTTGTTGAARGAATCAATAGCGCTTYCATGTTTAACGTTGGAAAACATTTTGCTTGGAATCACTGATGACTGTTTTGTTTTGAGACAAAAACAAAGGAACCCAGAATTGTCAGTTGCTTTTCAAAATCTTGTCCAACAATACGAAAAGCTTGAATATATCATAGCAAAAAAAGAAATAAAAAAAACTAATGCATTTAAAGAAATATGAAAATCTTAAAGGGACACTGTCAATGGATGACGTGCGCAGTAACAGTCTCACCTCTAACGGACTTTGAAAGTATAACCTTCGAGGTAAATCATTTTGTGGTGCTTTTGACACACTTTGGAATATTCTAGATCTGTTTACGTTTACGATCTGATTTATGTCGCGCCAACTTGGAGTCATAAACTTGAAAACACTAGCCTAGTGTTTTCAAGTTTACTCGCGCATGCGTGCCATTGACAGTGTCCCTTTAAGAACTGATTATGCTGCATTTAGGGATAGATAATCAATATTGTGAAGTACTAGGGATTGTGACTAATCATTGCAATGAGATATATTTATGGAATTAGCAATAAAAAAAATGTCAAAATACAAGAGAAATTGTTGACRATGTTGTTTCTTTCAGGCAAAAATCAGTCCTCTTCAGTTTGCGCTGGAAACGATGACTTCAGTCAACAAAGAAYTACGAAGTGTGATTGGTCAACAGAAGGCCGACGTTCAACTCAACATAAATCCTTTGAGTATGAAGCTACAGGGAATCGTGGAAGCAGCCGTGATGGGCGGAACGTCGAACTATGAAAAGGTACATTCGTATACCCAAACCTTTCCCATAGATCTTAATAATATTTTTTTTATTGTATTGTTAATAGTGTTTTACTGGAAACTAAAACACTCGTATTTTCCGTATTTTCACTAGTGAAGATATGAAAAAGTTATGTACCAAAATGTCCCGGATGTACGCGCGCGTAAAATAAAAACAACTTTCCCGCCCATTTCTACTTGTCACTTAGTTTGTCAATATAAAAGATACGAATTTTATTTTCTCGTGCTAAAAACAACATTTTACTCGTTCGCTGCTCAACATATTGTAACATATACTTGAAAATAAAATGCATATCTTCGCGCCACCGTGTAATATCCTCTATTTATTTACCTTTTCTCTAGGCATTTTTGATTCCCGAATATCTCCAACAAAACCCCGATCACACTCCGTACGTGGAGCAACTGAAGGAACTTCTGGTTGAACAGGTTAGAAGCAAGTTAGAAACAGGTTTAATGGGACACGATTAAAGTTACTGAGCGTAGACTGGGTGACATTTTGTGAGARAGTATSCACGAGCTGCACATATGTGTACCCACGAGTTGAAATTGATATTTCGTTTCAGATTGACATCCTCGAGGAAGGAATTCATCTACACGCCTCGCGTGTGTCAGATAATCTGCGACCCCTTCATGAACTCATTGAAACGAAGTT